GCCTCCCGAATGCCCAGTCTCCCCATGGGCCACACACCAACTTCTCTGCTGCTGTATCCTCAATGAAGCGTGAGGCATGGCCTGGCTTCCCAGTGCTGGTAACCCGTACCCCTAGGAAGAAGAGAGCTATCAGCATGAGGGAGCTGGAAACACATTCTGAACCCCAAGCCCATGGCCTAGAGCAGGGTCCTGACAAAAGTCAAGAGCTTGCTCTCAGAACCCAGGAAGACAAAAGTCTGGATGCCTCAAGGCATCAACTTCTTTTTTTTTTTTTTTTTTCGAGACAGAGTTTCTCTGCATAGCCTGGGCTGTCCTGGAACTAACTCAACTCTGTAGACCAGGCCAGCCTCGAACTCAGAAATCTGCCTGCCTCTGCCTCTGCCTCCAAGTGCTGGGATTAAAGGCGTGCGCCACCACCACCCGGCTCGGCGTCAACTTCTGAAAGACCCTGTGCTATGCAAGCCCTAGCTCCTTCTGGCCGAGTTTGCACCCGGCTAGGAAAGGCCACTGAGGGGTGAGGTGAAGCCACTCCTTATTGAGAAGTAAGCATGTGAAGCTTCACAGCATGAGAAAGGGTGGTGCACAGTAGGACTGGTTGCTTTGGTCAGCTGACCTGGGGGATGGCTACAGGAAAGGAGGCAGCAAATGGCACACCTCTCTTCCAAACCCATACTCACACCAAGGACTCCGCTCACTATAAAAGACGGTGAAGGCATCAGTGGGGTTGGCCAGGCCTGAGGGAGAAAGGTATACAGAGCAGAGTGACTCAGCTTCCCCTTGCAGCCTCCCTACACCTGGGAGAGGCTGGCCAACCTACTCACCCTCATCCAGAGCGAAGCCTGCCCGCAGAGCCTGGAACTCAGGCCTCTTCACAAACAACTCCATCCCCTTGTGACCTCCAACCTCCTCGTCTGTAAAAGTGTCAAGGGATGTGATGTGAGATGCCTCCCTTGACACACCTTCCTTCCCCTTCTCAAAGATGCCCCTCCCCAAGCCACTCCTACCAGGCACAAAGGTCATGTGGATGGTTCTAGGGAAGCGGTGCCCCTCGCTCTTCAGCCTCCTCACAGCCTCCAGGTACCTAAGGGCCAGAGGCTAAGTGCTCAGGGTGTGCAAGTTGTAGTTTTGTGCCCTAGACACTTTCCTCCCATGTATTTCAGGGACTCCAGAAAACTCCCTGCCCTCTTCTGGGCCTGTTTCCCCATCTATAAATGGTCATGGCAGCCATTTCTGCTTTAGATAGAAAGTCAAGATGACCCTTGCTTGGCTTAGGGTTTTTCAACACATCTCAGTGCTCTTGCTGAATCCAGAGGCCAGTAGGGGTCTGGGAATGGAGGATACTCACTGGATGCTAACACTCTTCATGTCCTGGGCGCCCCTAGCATAGATGTAGCCCTCGGAATCCTTGAAGGCTTCAAAGGGGTCATGATGCCAATGTTCCTGGGGGCAGAGGTGGGAAGAGAGGCCCGCCACAGAATTGAAATGATGAGAGAGAAAAAAGGCTAGAAACCCCAGCTACCTGATTTCCATCCCCGGTTTATCTCCTGCAATCACCCCCTCCCTAGTACAGAACCCTTCCTGGACAGAGGCTGCTTGCATGGAGCCATGCCATATGAATGTTAAAGAGTTAGTGGTGGATAAGCTGGGCACAATGGCCTTTAAGCTTAGCACTAGGGAGGGAGAAGCAGGTGGATCTTTTGAGTTTTAGGCTATCCTGATCAGTGAGTTCCTGGTTAGCCAGAGCTACATAGTGAGATGCTGTCTCAAGGAAAAACAAAACAGAACAGGAGTCAGTGGTGAGATCAGCACCATGGGTCCCTGGGGAATCCTGAAGTCTACACTCTGTCTGTCCTCCAGGCTTGCACACATCCCTCCATACACACCTTGAAGACAGGTACCACATCTGTGTGGGAGTTTAGCAAGATGGAGGGGAGTGACGGGTTGGTGCCTGGCCAGGTCAGCACAGTGATCACATAGCCAGGTACCACCTGCAGAGTCAAGATAGGAAGCCGTCAGCATCAGTGACAAGGTGTCCTCAACCCATGGCCTCACCCTGCCCAAGGCCCTACGCTCACCTCTATTTTCTGACAGCTCAGACCCAGCTGGCGGGCTCTCTCCTCAAGGAAGGTGATGGCACCTCCTGGAAACACAGAGAGCCTTGGCACTGCTTTTGCTGGTACCCACCGGCCCAGGCAGCCCAGGGATGTATATCTGCTTTCCCAACACAATTTCAAATCTCTCAAAACATCTGCATCTATGTCCCCAAGGAACAAGATTTCTTGACCCTCTGTGAAGGTCAGGTGTTATCACTCTTAAAGATAGTGAAATCAGAGATAAAGAGACTCACCTAAAGTCTCTCAGCTTGTAAATCTTAGAACAGGACTTGGACCCATGCACAAGATTCCTAGCCACTAAGCTAGATTCCCTAAGGGCTGTGGCCTTTGTATAACTTTGGCAGTGTTAGACCAGGGGTAGTTCCCCAAGTCTCCCCACACCACTCTGGCCTTTGAAGAGTGAGGTGAAGCCATGCCTTCTTAAACTAGCTGCCAGGTATAACCATTAGAAGCTGCACAGAATAGAGAAAGGGTGGGTGAACAGTGGGTGCACTCGTTGCCTTGGTCAGCTGACCTAGGGGATGGCTACAGAAAGGGAGGCAGCAGAAACAGCAGAGTCGGGGCCCACTGGGTGGCAGGTGTTGAAGGTAATGCACAGCATATTCCCAGCCCTTGAGGCCCCATCACAGGCCCCCAAACCCTGCATTCTCACCATATTCTGGATTGGGTTGCACAGTGCAGATGCGCAGGTACTGGCGGAAGAGCGTCACGGAGGGGTGCTCAGAGTCAGGACCCTTGGTGGTCATGGCGCCGCGTGCTGGTTTGGGTAAAGTGAATCGTTAATTACTACTCCCACCCACAGAAGTTGGGGCCCCGTGGTCTGGCCTTTCCAATGTTGTTCCTACCGGGAGGAGGGTACTTTGGTTTGCCTTCCCCATTCTGTGCCAGGCCATGTGCTGGCTGCTTTCTAAACATTTCCTCATTTAATCCTCAAAAGAGTGCCAGGAAGTAAGTTTGATCCCCCGAGTGCCCACTTGACACAAGAGAAAGCTGAGGCACAGAGCTGGCTTAATAGGAGAACTTGGTTTGCATGAGACATTGACTCCCTACACCCTCCTCAAAATATTTCTCCCAAAAGCCGGGCTTTTATGCCACAGAGCCACGGAGCCCCATACTCCTCAACCCCTCCTTAAGGTCCTCCAACCTTGCTCTCTTCAGGTCTCAGTCCTGTGCTCTCCTCTCTCAGGGCCCTCTTGAGACTGTGGCCGGAACTCAGGGTCCACCGAGGTCGCAATCTCAAAACCGCCCGGGGCCGCCCACCACGTGGCCAGGGCGGAGTGGAGGGGCGGAGACCGAAGACTATAGAGCTGTCCCAGATCTTGGAGCAGAGCGGGCACCGATGTCCCGGCCAGGCTCTGCGTGGGGCCTGCGCGGGGTAATTGGAAGCTTGGATCTGAGATCCACCCCCTTGGTCCTCCTCACTGAGGCCAGCTCCGCCCTCCCAACACCGCGCCTGGAGCCTGGACCGCAAACCCAGGATGGTCCCGCCCCCAGGGGAACCCTCCTCCCCTTGCAGCCTCCGGATAGGGCGAGGAAAGAGGGCGGGGCCTGGCGCTAAAAGTCACCGCAGTGGCTGGGTACTCATCTGTTATCTAGGTGTCCGCCTGCAAAATGCATCCTGTTTTCTCTGCCCTCTCTGCCGTTTCTTGCCTCCACTCCTCAGGAAGCCCCCACCCCAGCCCCACCCCAGCCCCAGATTGCCATACTCTTCCTGTAGTGAGGTTTTTTTAGTGTCTGCCCTCCCCACTTCCGTGAGTTCCAGGACGCTGGTGAGCCCATGGGGTTCTAACCCTGTCCAGGTAGAGTGGGCGTCTGGGCAAGGTGCCATAATCATAAATGAAATATAAATACCCGGATGGGAGAACGTGTGACTCTGTCCACGAGTTTCTGTGTGGCCAAATCTGTGTAACGGTGGATAGAACTGTATGTGTGACATTATTAGTCTGAGACCGCGGAGGTGCAGAGCGTCGTGTGTACAATCGTGACACCTCTCAGTATGGGAGATAGGGAAAGAGCACCTTGGCTGACCCTACAGCGAACTCTAAGCCCTTCTGCCTCCAGCTGAGAGAGAAACAGAGGCACAACTGTTTCTCTGGCCACCCGCAAGCAATTTGTAACTGTAGCTGCCCACTTGAGCACCTACCTAGCTGTCCTTTGTACTCCCAGAAAGTTCTGCCCTCTGTTCCAGAGGCTGAGCCAGCTCCGGGAGGGGCAAGGGGCAGGAGACTTCAACCCTGGAACTAAGGGAGGAGGCGGGGAGGATCAAGGAGGGACTCATCCTACCCTTGGGGTTGAAGTCTCTGGCTGCTCACCCTTAATAAGGAAGCAAGCAGGTTTGGTGGTTCAACAGCAGTTTTAATTCTTTTTTTTTTTTTCCCTTCGAGACAAGGTTTCTCTGTATAGCCCTGGCTATCCTGGAACTCACTCTGTAGACCAGGCTGGCCTCGAACTCAGAAATCTGCCTGCCTCTGCCTCCCAAGTGCTGGGATTAAAGGCGTACTTCACCACTGCCAGGCAGCAGTTGTAATTCTTAAACCACACTCCATCTCCACCTTCATGTACTCTGCCTTGCCTTCACTAAGTGCAGTTGGGAAGTGACCACTATCCCCCACGGACCCTAGTGGGCCCGAAGCCCCAGTAATTCACCTTCCTCCCCCCTCAGTCCTGTTACCCACATTCAACCCCACAATCATTTCCGGTTAGATACTGTGGTTATGCCATTTTACAGGGGAGGAAACTGAGGCACGGAGAACACAGATTATGAGGAAGTACTACAGTCTCACTTAGACTCCCAGGAGCAGCGCCTCCAGCTGCCCAGTCCCAGCACAGCTGCAGTCTTGCCTCCCACTCCCAGCCTCCCCACAGTCAGGAAACACAATGGCACTCTCCAGGCAAGACAAAAAGGCTCTTCTTTATTGTGCCTGTGAAATGAAATACAAAAGTCCTGGCTAGGCTTGATCCTCTGTCCCCCAATCCCAGCCAGGGACTGCCACCCTGGAAGAGGAGAGAGAGGGTCTAGACTCGAGAGGTTGGTCCTGGGAAGTGAGTCAATTCAAGACAAATGGTCGAGGAAGGCAAGAAGGGCGAGGTGGAAGGCTTCGGGCTTGTGGAGGTAGCAGGCATGGCCTGCATTGTGCAGCTTCACCACGGAGTGGTTGGGCAGGTGGCGGAGCTGCTGAAGTGACTTTCGAGCCAAGGTGTGGTCCAGTTCCCCATACAGGATAAGAGTTGGGGTCTGCAGGGCAAGGCCAGAACTTGTTGATCCTGGGGCTTGGTGAGGAACCAGCCCACAAGCTATTCCTTTATGGAACCTTGTCCCACATTCTACTTCTTCCACAAGACTGCAGGGGCCAATCCTCTAAGACCCCCTCCAATCATACACACCCCATTCATATTCATACACACACACACACCAAGGACAGAGAACTTTGCAGATCATTGTCTGAGTACCTTCACAGCCCCGAATTGTTCCCGTGCAAAATTCTGGGTGGAGGTGGGCGCGATGGGCACAAATCCATGTAACTGGTGGTGGCTTCGCATCAAGAAGGGTAGTGCATAGCTGCCACTCAGTGAGGGGCTCACCAACACAGTATTCTGCACCCGTAGGTCCCGGAGCACTCTCTCCAGCAACTCCACTCGGCCTGCCTCTGTGCTCACCTCCTTTGTAGGAGCTGAATTCCCAAAACCTGGGAACAGCAGCAGGCACTACCTCAGAGGAGCTGCAAAGTGCTCAGGACTTCCTGCCCATCGCAGTGGGAGAAAGAGAGGAGGACATAGCACATTCTACCCCAGCTAATCACAGAAGCAAGTTTTTATAATATAACAGGTCCACTAAAAAAACCATGATTCTAGCAAGTGAGAAGGCTCACTGGGTAAAAAGCACTGGTTGCCCATATCTGGATGACTAGAATCTGATCCCTGGAACCCATATGGTGAAAGGAGAATATGTCTCACGTAAGCTCTTAAGCTGATAACACCCAGTATTAGAAGAGATGAGGAGTGGATACCTACAAGGCTAAATCTATTATGTAGCCTTTCTGTTTATCAAAGGAACATCCCCTGCCTGTAGTGACAATTCTGGAATTGTAGTTTCTTTTAAAAGCACAGAAATAGCTGGGCAGTGGTGGTACATGCCTTTAATCCCAGCACTTGGGAGACAGAGGTAGGTGGATTTCTGAGTTCGAGGCCAGCCTGGTCTACAGAGTGAGTTCCAGAACAGCCAGGGCTACACAGAGAAACCCTGTCTTGAAAAACAAAAACAAACAAACAAACAAAAAGAATGTTTTTGTTTTAATCTCAGGTATGCTGATATGGGGCTGCTCTGGACTGTCTGTAACAGCTGACTATGATTTGCCTCGTGCTTTATCAGAGGCGTGGTTTTGCCAGCTGCAGATAGTTTCTCTGTATGATGTTTGAAATTTTGGGACCTTTTCAGAGGGTATATAAAAGCTAGACTCTGGGGGCTAGAGAGATGGCTCAGCAGTTAAGAGCACTGAATGCTCTTCCAGAGGTCCTGAGTTCAATTCCCAGCAACCACATAGTGGCTCACAACCATCTGTAATGGGATCTGATACCCTCTTCTGGTGTGTCTGAAGAGAGCAATGGTGTACTCATATACATAAAATAAATAAATCTTAAAAAAAAAAAAAGCTAGACTCTGGATAGGCGGGATTGGTGGTGGGTGATCATTCAGGGAGGTTGTTTGAGGCTTGTTAGTAGTTGTGCTCAAAGACGAAACAAGAAAGAAGTTGGATCTCTCTTTCCTCTCTTTCCTTCTTTCCCTCCTATCTAGTGGGGGGGGGTACAACCAGAGGGATAAAGGGTGGGAAAAAGAAGAATCCACAAGGTATTAAAGACCAGCTATATATGACCCACTAATCGTCCTTGATTGTTAGAGAAACTGTTGCCCTATGTTTTTTTGTTGCTGATTCCCCTGCCTTCCCCACTCCCTCAACAAGCAAGGTTTCTCTTTGTATCCCTGGTTGTCCTGGAACTCACTTTATAGACCAAACTGGCCTCAAAATCAGAGACACCTGCCTCTGCCTCCTGAGTGCTGGAGGCATGTGTCACCATGTCCAGCTCTCCTATAGTTAACGAAAAGTGTCCAGAGAGGTTTGGGTTCCATGTTTGAGTGTTTCAGGTGACAATGACAATGTTAGATCTACTAATTGAGGAATATGCACACAAAGCCTGCCCATGCCTCCCATGGCTCACAGTGCAGCATTAGCAACAGAGACGGAAGTCTGGAGGACCAGGCTTGGCCTACAGTTATGGTGTAGCCAAGAAAATTAAGGTGTAAATATATTTATTAAGCTTTCAGGATGCTAATACTCCCAATCCCCCTATACAACCTGCATGTTGTCTATGTCTGTTCTCTCTCTCTTTCTCTCTCACTTTGTCTGTCTGTCTCTGTATAGGTAGGTCAAGCCTAGGACCCCGTACATGCTAGGCAAGGACTCTACCACTGAATTATATTCCCAGGCCTTTTTAATTTTGAGGTAGGGTCTCTACTGAGTAGCTGGGATTACAGGTCTGTACCAGCAGGTCCACCTGTGTGTTATCTCTATGCATGGAAATATTTGAAAGCGTGTGTGTGTGGGGGGGCGCTGTCACTCTTAGGTGTTTAGAGAGAAAACATCAGTGGCATTGGTTTCTAAGGACTTCATTTAAAAAAATATTGATTTTATTTTTGATTTATACATGTATATCTCCCTCCCCCTACCCTCCATCCCTCACACTGTCCATTTTAAAAGAGAAAAATGATAGCTTGGGGCTAGGAGTGTAGCTTAGCAGGTGAGTGCCTGCCTAGGATTCCTGGGTTCAATCCACAGTACTAGAAACAACAACAAACCCAGAGAAAAGGGTAGTCCATGTGTAAAGTTAAGAAGAATCAAGGTTGGCGAGGTTGCTTAGTGAGTGGGTAACGGGGCCTGCTACCAAGCTTGACAATCTGAGTTTGATCCCTATAAGGTAAGGTAGAAGGAGAGGACCGACTTTAACAAGTTATCTGTCCCTAATGGAAAAAAAAAGCCACAAAATTTACAGTAACAAAAGGCACAGGGAACTCCTCTCTGATGGGTTGCTCAAGAAATGAATAACTTTTCTGTCTCCTCTGTGTCGTGCAATAAGTAACTCACAGTGTAGTTTTCAAGGTAGAAAATAAAAACAGGCTTTTATTGTGGTGCTTTCTTGTGACCTGCAACTGGTTTTGTCCAGACATGGGGACCCACACGCCCCTGCTTTGCCACCCCTCCAATTCTCCCTTCTGGTGACTGTTCCTTTGTTCCTACTGCAGCCTGCCCTTTCTAAACTTGAATGTGGGGGTACTCACCTGGAAGGTCGATGGCCACAGCCCGGTAGCCCCTCTTTGACAGTAGCTGCAGTGTGCCCAGCTGCTCCCATGTGTGGGAATTAAATGCTTCTCCATGAAGAAACACTACTTCTGCCCTGCAGATACATGGGAAACATGTGGTATGGGACTTAGGCAGCCAGTATCCCTTCTTCCAGGTGTCTTTCTTTCTTTCTCTTTTATTTTTTTTTTCAAGACAGGATTTCTCTGTGTAGCCCTGGCTGTCCTGGAACTCACTCTGTAGACCAGGCTGGCATCGAACTCAGAAATCCGCCTGCCTCTGCCTCCTAAGTGCTGGGATTAAAGGCGTGCGCCACCACTGCCCGGCCCAGGTGTCTGTCACTGCCCTCCCAGGCTCTGAGCTCTATAAGTTGGACTGGAGTCTCTCCATTAAACCCTTGAGTAAACCATTCACCTGTGTGCCTGCTGGATGGGCAGCACCTCCCGGTAAAAGATGTGAGGGTTGCCTTTGGTAACACCGGTCAGGACTGTGACATTAGGGCTTCTCCAGAGTTGTGAAGTCCGCTCAGGTGGGCCGGGCAACCCCACATAAAGTAGGAACATGAGCAGCAGGCCCAGACCCAGCAGGGCTGCCTGGTACCGGCTCATGAATTTCTGTACTACACAGCCTGAAGGAGAAAAAGGGAAGAGATAGGCTGAGGAAGACTTGTAGCCCTCTTCCCTTCTCTTGCCCTGAAAGAATGTCTGGATGCTCATACCCAACTACTTCTCAGGCAGGGCAAAGGGCTGAGACACCCCACTATAAGAAGTGCATGAGACAGCCCTCATATTTAATGGCCACCATCATCACTGTGTTAGCTCTTCCGGGCATAGCCTCCATGCTTGGGTCTCTGCACTAAGCCACAGAAAACACAGAGAACAGATATGATGATGGACCTCTGACACGAAGGAGTCCAGGCTCACAGGTGAATTCTCCGCGGCAGCGGGGGGTTGGGGAACCGGGACCCAGGGCTAGTTTCCTAACCACCAGATCCCGTGTGGTCTGGAAGGAAACAGTGTACTGGCAGGAGCTGGATGAGCTGCAGACTCAGTGGTGGATGGAGCCGTGGAGGCTGCTAAAGTGTACAGAGAGACCTCCACTGAGGGCCTGCCTGGGAATGACTGTCTTTCCTCACAATGAATAAACTGCTAAAACCAGAACGTGCTGTACAATAGGAAGGGATAGTTCATGGTCACCCCAACCATTGTGGGCCAGTTCACAGAGAACGTTGGGGTTCACATGATGCTGGAGTGTGAGACGGTGGGGGCTGGGAGGACTGGAAGGAGAAGCACGAAGAGCAGAGAGAAGTATATTCCCCACCCCTCCACCATGGACTCCTCCAGTAGGGAGGCTTTGTCAGCCCAGAGGGCTAAACTCACACAGGACAGGTGGTCTTGGGTTGAGAATTCCCCTCTGCCTTGCTGTGGTGGGATGGGGTGTCCTGTCATCATTTACTGGGCCTAAGATGAGTGTGCTTGTCTTACTCTGGGATTCTGGATGCATCTTTACTGAGTGTAAACAAAGTGTGTGTGGTAGGGCTAGGAGCTAGGGCCCACCCGGGGCCACACCCACCTCGGTGGTACTCTTCTGGAGGCCTCACTCCCTAGCTCCAAAGTCAGGCAGTGAGCTGTAGCAGATCCTCCAGTGCTGATGGAAAATCAGAAAGAGCACACTCTTCTTCCTAACCTGGAGCAGCCAAGGATGCGTGTCTCCAACGCAGCAGCTTTAGCTCAGGTTCCTAAGAGGTGGAGCATTGTCACGATGGACCACCCTTAGTGTCCGGTGCATCTTTCAGGATCAAGGGGGTGGGGTTTCACTTGTTGCCATGGCAACCCGGGTGCCCAAGACTAGACAACTGTAGGGTTCTAATGCAGACTGCTCTGCAGGTGGAGGAGGCTGCAGTTAAACTGTGCTTGTTCTGGTTACTGAAATGCCCATCTACCACAGCACAAGGGTGTACACACACTCATACAGACACAAGAGCCTTGCTTCCACACACTTTTTAAGAGGCTATCCCCTAAATGTACCACAGCCTCTTTGCACCCCCATATGCAGTCAGGCTCTTACAGTAACATCCATAAAATCCTATGCATGGATGTGTTAACGGTTTACTCCAAGATCGAAATATTCCATGCTTCAGAGGAGCTCCTGAAGCAGGGAGGTGAACAACCAGAAATTAGCTTCAAGAATTTCCTGAAACTGGCAAGATTCACTAGGCCTCTCCTTGCCAGGGTAATCCACAAAAGCTGAGAACCCCTTTCCCACCAAGTAAAGCTAAGCTGCAAAGACGACTTGGAGAGCACGCCAGCTCCCTGAAGAAGCAGAAACCAGTTGAGCTGCCTGTAAGAGGCCGACATCAGCTGAAGCACTTGGGAAAGACACTCTCCAACCAGTCGAGCTGCCTGCTGGCTGTGAAGGGTGTTCCACAATTTGTGAACTGTCATCCCTACTTTGGACTTTGGTAACGGAGCTGTCTTTGAGTCCTTTCTGCTCCCATAAGTAATCCCTTATCTATATTTCTGTAAGTAACCCCAATCACAATAATTGGTTCAAGTTGGACTTTGGTGGTATCTGTACTATGGTCTGTCATGGGCTCCCTATCTGGTATAAGTAGACATGTGTTTTCTCTCTCCAGGAAAAGTTTTGCCACAGGATGTTATTCTATGACAGGAAAAAAAAAAGTTTTGTTATCAGGAAGGCAAAGAGATTGACTCATAGGATTTTAAAACCATATGTAAGCCGGGCAGTGGTGGCGCACACCTTTAATCCCAGCACTTGGGAGGCAGAGGCAGGCGGATTTCTGAGTTCGAGGCCAGCCTGGTCTACAGAGTGAGTTCCAGGACAGCCAGGGCTATACAGAGAAACCCTGTCTCGAAAAACCAAAAAACAAAAACAAACAAAACAAAACAAAACAAAAGTTAGAGTTACAGATGAAAGCACTTGCTGCCAAGCCTGACAATCTGACTTTAATCCTTGGAATTCACAGCGGTTGAAGGATGAACGGACTCCAGCAAGTCTGGACTTGACCTCCCTATGTGCCCCCACCAACATAAATAAATGTTTAAACAAATGAAAAAGATTTAGGAAAAACAATCTACTAGCAAGCAAGGACCTGGCGGGCAGGCAGGGAAAGAAACGCTCCAGCTGAGGGACACACATAAACCTTCGGAAATACACAGTGATATGCAGAGATAAACACAGAAAAGAGACATGCAAACAGGCATGCAGACCGGAAAAAAACTACCCCTGACACCCTCCCCCCAACCCCCGCCAAAGCGAAGAGACCTCACTTATACCTAGACCTCAAAAACACACAGACATTCGCGTGCACAGGTACACTGTACACATGTTGCCCGGCGCTTGCGCCTTCCGAAGGACTCTGCCCCAAGCGGCAGGGACAAGGATGGCTGATCCCGGGACAACCTGCGGCCCTCCTTCCCTGGGGACACTCACCGCACGGACAGGAGTGACCAGGCGGGCTCCGGTGAGGCGGGGCCTGGGCTAGGCAGAGCCAACTGTCAAACAGCCTAGCGGATGTGGCACAGCCTCCTCCTTGGTCGGCCAAAGGCCAGCCACTAAGGCGCGCTTGCGCAGTACGCAGCTGCAGGCCAAGGCTGGTTACCAGAGACGGATGTGGGGCGGTGCCCTAAAGCACTGAGACCCGCCCCTCTCAGCCCAGATTTTCGGAATTGTTATTGGCCAGAGGCCTGAGAGCCTGTGAAGAGCCACCCGGTTCATCAATTTTCGCAGGTTTGTTTGCAAAGTGGGGTTTAGGAAAGACCCACTGTATAAGGATGTCATGGAACTTAAAGACAGGTCAAACCTTAGAAGAGTTCTTGGCACCGAGCTCTACAAACGGAACGTAAATGCCAGATGATGTTATTGTCATGCAGCAGCTCCAGGCTTCTGACCAAGCATTTTCTTTACTCGCCTCATTCCCCTGCCAGGTCAGAGCTTGAGGTATCCTCTAACTCTAGTCTGCTCAGGACATTTATTATTGGTTGGCAACCTGCGATCGATGTTTGGTCTATACCAGGTTCAGGCCTCTGTGTTGCAACCAGACCTTGGGGCAGGGAGGCCATGAAGGGCGCAAAAGATTCACTACTCATTGGTACCCTGCCAAGTTTGGCATTAACCAGATTCATTCTACAGGCTCAGAACAGACTCTAATGCTACCTGGCTAGACTTCGGCGGAGCCTTTCACTCAGACCTGAAGGATGTCCGCTTTATGACAGGTGCACAACTCCTCTTGTACTGTCCTGACTCCGGGGTGAGGAATGGGATGGGGGGGGGGCAGACAGCAAAGATACCAGAAATAGCTTTTGCCCTTAAGTCAAGCATTTCCGTGTGGAGCAGATCGCTGAGGGTTTCGAGATCTTCAGCCCTGCTTTTGGTGCACATGGGCGTGGAGGTAGGCTTGGGAAAACAGGTTCGATCAAAGAACGAAGGGTTAAGGCGCAGACGAACCTAGTGGCAGCTTGTTACCAAGAGAGGGCGCCTAGAACGCCTAGGCCTGTCCCCACCTCCTGCCCAGCCCCTTTCCTATTTCTCTCCCCACCCGCCAACAGCACACGCCATTCTGCGGAAGACCACGCACATTTATTTCCAGGTACCACCCTGCACACTCGACTCTCTCTTTGCGTCTCTACTCAGAACCCACCTGCCCCAAGTCTTCTCATCTCCGCTCTCCAGGTCACCTCTTTCTCTGGGTTACCCCTCCTTCCTCTGCTTCCTCCAGACAGACTCAGGGATCTGGAACTGTGGCCAGTGAACCGAGGGAGCCTTGGCAGCGCGGGTGACCGCAGCGTCAACTGGTTAGGCTCCAGCGGCTAGCACGCTGAGCACCCCGCGTCCCTGGCAGTCAGAAACTCCAAAGTCCTTGCTGACCGGTGCATGTGTTTCTGCTTCTGGAAAAAGGGCCTTAATCCCAAACAAACTTGGTCTCCTGCCTATATTACTAGCTCACCCACAGTATGTTAGTGCAGGTTTAGATGAGGCTAATCAGGGCAGTATTTATCCTCGATTGAGCACTTACTGTCCTAGGCTTGTGTAAGTTTTTTCCTTCATGCACAGCCTCTTTTAATGTCTATGAGCTAGTATTGAATAGTCCCTTGCCAGGCAGTGATGGCGCACGCCTTTAATTCCAGCACTTGGGAGGCAGAGGCAGAGGCAGAGGCAGAGGCAGAGGCAGAGGCAGAGGCAGGCGGATTTCTGAGTTTGAGGCCAGCCTGGTCTACAGAGTGAGTTCCAGTACAGCCAGGGCTACGCAGAGAAACCCTGTCTCGAAAAACAAAAACAAAACAAAATAGTCCCATATACCAGTTTTTACTGGTGGAGATCACCCTGATTCTTCACTTTTTGCATAGGTTTTTTTTTTTTTGGGGGGGGGGAGTGTCTTTTCAAGACAGGGTTTCTCTGTGTAACCCTGGCTGTCTTGGAACTCACTCTATAGACCAGGCTGGCCTTGAACTCAAAGATCCGCCTGCCTCTGCCTCCCAAGTGCTGAGACTAAATGTGTGCACCACCACTGCCCAGCAGGTTTTCTTAAATTCTTAAGTGACATTGGTAATTCTGCCATGTTTCTGTTAGGACAGTTTAAGCCCAACATCAAGCAACCAAGTGTGAGTGGCAGAAATAATACCTGTTTTCCTGACCTTAATTCAGATCCTAGAGACCTGGTAGTCACCTAACTGCTCCCTGCTGCTCGCAGGTGGGGCTTCCTTCATTCCTCACCAGCCTGGCTTTGAACTGCAGACATATCACCTTCCGGCATGGCCAGTGCGGATCAGCGTGAGGGCACCATCCAGGTGCAGGGCCAGAGCCTCTTCTTCAGAGAGGTCCGGCCTGGCAATGGGCAGGCTGTCCGCTTCTCTGTGCTGCTGTTGCATGGTATCCGCTTCTCCTCTGAGACTTGGCAGAACCTGGGCACTCTGCATAGGCTGGCCGAGGCTGGCTACAGGGCTGTGGCCATTGATCTGCCAGGTACTTCTGGGGTGGGGTTTCTGGACCAGGGTTGGGGAAAACTTGATGGAGGACGGAAGGATTTACTCAATCTGGGCCCTGAGCTTGACAGCGTTAGGTAGTTAGACCTTTGAACTTGTCAGGTCTTGCTCTAGAAGGGTCAATACACTGTTCAGCTGCTTTTCACTAGTACTGGGCCTGTGTTCTGATGCCTCTGGGCTCACTTCCCTTCCCTCATCTGTAATGGTAGGTACCACACTGCTGCTTGTGATGTCCCTAGCAAGCAAGGAAGGAGGTCATTGTGTGAATGTATTAGCTAGTACTTGACAAGCAGTAGAAGGTGCCCGGCTGATTGGAAGCAAAGCACCTGGATAGAACCATATTCACAGTCTGGTGATAGCACTAACAATGAGTCTTCCAGAGCAAAGCATGGCAGGGCCTGATGGACAGCTCAGTACCTAGTCACCTATTTGTAAGCAGAGTCCTTGGTGGCGGGGGGTGGGGGGGTGGGGAGGTGTCACTGGAGGAGGTGGGAACAGCTTTCAGATTGCTTGACATAACCTGAATCACCAGGCCCTACCACTTTTAGTGTCTAGTGAGGAATTGGAGACATAGCCTATCTGACAGGATCTAATCCCTTCACGGGCTAGAGCTGATACAGTTTCAGGTTTCAAGGGCAGATTTCCAGCCTGACCAGGCTTGCTTCCAACAGTGGGTTGGGCTGAGCTTCTCAGTGGTGAAGATCTACACTAATGGTGGGTGGAGGCGACTGGTAGG